TGTGTGTGTGTGTGTGTGTGTGTGTGTTCATGCTGCTCACCTCAATATAAAACATCTTTGATCTGACCTATAAAGTGACACTCATGATGGTGATGTTGTCATATTGTTTCAGCAATATGTTTGAACCAGTTTATTTATGTTGCTACTACATGAAGCACTATTTGGTTTAGATTACATGACTAAACATTTTTACAGTAAACCCCTGATTAAACATTTGTCTGTCATTAAATCAAGTCATTAACGCAACCCAAGAATTAAAGGATTAAATCCATACGGAATTGGGTGAACTATTGCGTTTTTCACATTTTCAGAATGTTTTATTAGTTATTACTCATATTAGTTCATAAGTTACTTATATTCGAGCTGAAGTAATTGATTTGGCATGTAGATTTTTTCTGCAGCAATCCAAACAGTCAAACTCCTTGTGTAGTGTAAGTTTGCCAATAAAACTTGGGTTATGTCATGTTAGGCATGGTTCTATGAAACAGATGTCTATTTTTAGACTTTATGTCACACATTCTGTTATTTCCACAGTTTAGTATGCGTTGATATTTTTAGCATTTGTGGGTGATTTTATACACCAAAATCCAGAAGTTACAGTTACCTTGAGCACACAAACCAGTCTTCATACTAATGTCATCTGCAGGATGAAGTATGCAGAGTATCAGTGTGCTTCAGTGTCTTTACATAGTCTGCCATCTAGTGGCTGAATAAGAAACTTTAGAGGCGAAAGATACCTTCTCAGAAAAATAGCTACAAAGCTGTCACTCACTGGGGCGGGAGTCAGGACCCTAAGGTACAAAAGCTAAAATGTACATATTCGTTTCCATTTTTTACCCCCAAATGGTGCATATTAGTATCTTAGAGGTACATATTAGTTACTTTTAAAAGGGTACCGTCCCAATGACATGTTTTGACCTTTTTTTCAAAGTGTAAAATCAAGCATTCTAATAATTATGATCATTATTACAGATTATATTATAATATTGTTCAGTGTTGCATTAGTGATATTGTGTTTTTTTTAATAACACTACAAGCAAAGCGCCATTTATACATGTATATAACAATAAATAAATAATACAAAACCAAATTTCTAATAAAATAATTTAACCTCTTAAGACCCGAGAAAATATTTTTAGGAAAAAAATGTTTTAATGTCTTTACATTGTTTAGAGCATTCAAAAAAAAAGTTTTAAAAAAAGTGCAAATTACATTTAATTCCTAAGTTATGCTATGTCCTCGGTAGAGGACATCGGGACTCAATTTTAAAAAATAAAATAAAAAGACATGAATTAACATGCATAGGCAAAAACAATAGATATTTTTAAATAACCAATACATTTTTAGTTTTCAGGATTTTTTTTTTTTACCAAACTTTGTATAAAGATGATTCTCAACTATGTTATAACAGAATGATTTGATATACCATTTTTCTTTCTGCAAAATGTGTGTAAAATGGCCATAAATGGGTTTTCTCAATATATACAATGTATCTATAAACGAAATCTAATTTGCATATTAATGTGTTTTTGGGGCAACATGTAATGAAAAAAGAAGTGTAATAATGGGAGTAATATTTGACAAGATTTTCATAATAATATATATTATTTCATAGAATATTGAAACATAATTTATTTCCCTATTCATTTGTTATGTCTCCCAAAATGCTAATAAACATGCTTTTAGTCCCGGTGTCCTCATATGAGGACATGTATGAAATCAACCTCCTGTTTCGTAACAGAAAGTCATATTTTGATTTGAAACCCCATAACATTTTCCTGAGATGTTGATTTATGACAGACAGTTTAAAAGTTAGTCAGATGTAAATGATAATTACAAAATATTATCATATTTCCATAAGAGTGTCACTAAATTAATATCAGACATATCTGAAGACCAAGGAGAGGGAGTGGTCACGGTGAAACATCCAAACATTTAGTATCTCTGAAAGCCCTGAAAGTGCTCCGTACAGGACTCCCAGACTTACAACCGTGGCATGTACAGTCTCAGAGAAATACACCAAAATATAATGTCCTCATATGAGGTCACAGGGTCTCAGGAGGATAAAAAGTGAAATAAGTGAAATGGAAGATGAAATAGTCGGATATACTGTTGAACCTCTTTTTTTTATAATAAAGAAAGGATTTTGATGAGAGAGTTTACTGCGGTGAATATGAAATGTAGCAAGAAGTAATAATAGGTTAATAATAAAGTATTCCTTAATTTGATCTTTTTGCATATTAAAGAAACCAAGCAGCACATCCTTAAAAAGCAGAGAGAAACCGGGAGATTAATAACATTAGAAAACTCTATCCAAAATAGCTGTAACTGACAATCCCAGAAGATATGAATATCAGTTTCATTATTAATCTGATTTAAACCTTTTCAGAAACACTTTAGCTGGTTAAAATCTGTGTAACAATCTGAGATTTCTCTGGCCTTGTTAGCTATTATGTATTTCAAAAGCACAGTCCATACTTTTTTCCAATCAATATGATCAACCGAATTCTACACTCTAAAAAATGCTGGGTTAAATACAACCCAGTGCTGGGTAAAATAGGGACAAACCCAGCAATTGGGTTGTTTTGATATAATGTCCTCATATGAGGTCACAGGGTCTCAGGAGGATAAAAAGTGAAATAAGTGAAATGGAAGATGAAATAGTCGGATATACTGTTGAACCTCTTTTTTTTATAATAAAGAAAGGATTTTGATGAGAGAATTTACTGCGGTGAATATGAAATTTAGCAAGAAGTAATAATAGGTTAATAATAAAGTATTCATTAATTTGATCTTTTTGCATATTAAAGAAACCGAGCAGTACATCCTTAAAAAGCAGAGAGAAACCGGGAGATTAATAACATTAGAAAACTCTATCCAAAATAGCTGTAACTGACAATCCCAGAAGATATGAATATCAGTTTCATTATTAATCTGATTTAAACCTTTTCAGAAACACTTTAGCTGGTTAAAATCTGTGTAACAATCTGAAAGAGATTTCTCTGGCCTTGTTAGCTATTATGTATTTCAAAGGCAGAGTCCATACTTTTTTCCAATCAATATGATCAACCGAATTCTACACTCTAAAAAATGCTGGGTTAAATACAACCCAGTGCTGGGTAAAATAGGGACAAACCCAGCAATTGGGTTGTTTTGACCCAGCGGTTGGGTTAAATGCTTAACCCAGCCTTCTGGCTAGTAACCCAACCGCTGGGTTTGTCCCTATTTTACCCAGCACTGGGTTGTATTTAACCCAGCATTTTTTAGAGTGTAGACACACCAAATATGGAGTTGTTACAAGCTCCTTTTGAACGAGAGAGCTAATTTTATAGTTACGTGATGAAGGATGTGACAAAAAGCATAGTTATCCTATACTGGGATTTCAAAGAAATAGGTAAAGTGCTGGATGACCCAGCAGACTCCCTCAAAAGCATATCAACTCCTTTAGGAATTGCGTCATTGACAATGGAAATTTCTTTGGGAGTTACTGGAAAATCAAATGTACATACAAATTCTTTATAACTTAAAATAAGACCTAACTGGGCGTGTGAGTCAGTGCTTTAAACTCCATCTGTGAGTCAGTCTGACCTCTGACCCCATGACCTCATCCAGTTTCCACTCAGCAGCTGAATTATACGCACAGCTGTTATGATGATGCTGACATTTTACCTCATTGTTATAGAATGATAGAATATAATAGCACTGATAGTAAGCGTGTGTATCTGTGTAAATTGCAGTGATTTTATGGTCAAATTATGTGTGTTTAAATAAAGAGTGTAAACTGTGTTTGTTTTGACTGTTCATGAATCAATATACTCATCAAGGAGATTAAATATGCAGAAACATGTCATATGTGCTCATAACACAACGAAAATCATATTAAATGCACAGCCTGATGTTGAACCTTCATAGAATTAATTTATTCATATTCAGATTCCAAAACACACTAAATCTTTAAACGAACAGGTGGGTCAAAACTTTATTACCTTACCGTTTCAGTTACTTTAACGTTCCAGTAAAATAAAGCTACAATTTATTTATTATTAGGAAATATATTTGTATCTATTTATACACACATATTAATGGAAACATTTATTTTACACAACAACATTTGCTCAGAATGTACACAGTACTTGTTTATTGGCCTAATAATTGGCTTTTATCATTGACATAACATTAATAGTTACACAGCAATATAAAATTATACAACAATATAAAAACAAATGAAAACAAAGTGGTACTGTACATTTTAATACCAATGCAAAACAATACTTTCACAAACATTTTTCATATAGAAAGTCCTTTGAGCTGCTGTTATATCTTGGCAATAGAATGGAATGTAAGAATGATGGACATATTAATGAGTAACTGAACAGAAATCAGTTTGAACACGACTCGTTTGCAGTAGTTCGCTCAGGTTCTTTATGTTGGTCTCTGCCGTGAACGAGGGCAGGTGAGCTCCTGTTCTCAGCTGAGCGACGACAGGCCGGTTTTCTCCAGGATCCAGTTGTAATAGTTGCTGACTTTAGCATAAACTCCAGGACGGAACTGTCTGGAACATCCCTCTCCCCAGCTCACCACACCGAACAGAAACACACGGTCACGGACGCGACACACCAGCGGCCCGCCAGAGTCACCCTGAAACATCCCAGAAGAACAGACACATCAACCCGAGAGGCTTTTCTTGCTTCTCAGTGCTAAAAATGTGCAATCATTTTACATGTAGCCTTTAAAAAAAATCTGTAAAAATAGGGAACAGTGTACTGTATTAATATTAAGGAATTTTCTGTATTTTTTTTTACCAGTGTTTTACCTGTATTTTGAATTTTATTTGTCCTGACAGAACATTACTGGTACAATTTCCTTTTTTTGTGCCAATATAAATAGAGTATGTGTGTGTGTGTGATTAAAATTTTTTTTTTTAAATAAATGTAACAAAAAAACAATAACAACAAATATAAAAAGAATAAATTAATAAAAAATATAAATCAATCAATCGATAGATAGATAGATGATAGACAGACAGACAGACAGATAGACAGATAAACAGACAGACAGACAGACAGATAGACAGATAGACAGATAGATAGATAGATAGATAGATAGATGATAGACAGACAGATAGATAGACAGACAGACAGACAGACAGACAGACAGACAGACAGATAAACAGACAGACAGACAGACAGATAGACAGATAGACAGATAGATAGATAGATATATAGATAGATAGATAGATAGATGATAGACAGACAGATAGATAGATTTGATGGTCAGAAATGTTTACATTTATTCACTGCACAGACATTTTTTTTTATTAAAAGTGAATTGTGCAAATGTGTTGTAGGGATGTTTAGGGTTTAGTTTAGTTAGTTCTCAGTCAGTATTACCGATGTCGTTGTTGTAGTTGCCGTCTGTGTTGTTGAAGTGTTCATGGATGAAGAGCTCGGAGACCCTGAACTCCTGCTCTCTCTGAGCGTCTGTCTCATTTATGGCATTCCTCCCCACAAATACTGATAGTTTATGGATGCTAGTCTTAGTGCTGAAAACAAACAAGAAGAGATAAATGTGTAAATATATTTCCAAAAACACGTCCATCCATGCTTTTTTCTTCCCATCCATTTCCCATGCTTCTCATTTATTCATTCATTTCATCCAACTGCATTTATCATGAAAGCCCTAATAAAGGAAGATGGAAGAAAATATACATTTCAAGGCTTTTGCCTTTTTTGGGGAATTTTTTTTCCACCCATCACATATATTTTTCCCATCACCAGAACGATTGCACAGTTTCTCAGCGGAACACAAAAGTTTGCAAATGATTGTAAAAGCTTTGAAATCTAATTGTCCATCACCAGAATTGTATGGAGGACGAAACCTGCAAAAACAATAAATAAATAAATGCACAAATAAATAAATATGCAAAAAAAAAAATTTCCCCATCACATGAACATATGCATTATCTTGCAAAAATTTCTTGGGGAGCGCAAAAATTTGCGAGCGAACACAAAAGCACAGATTTTTTTCCCCTCCCATCTCATTTTTTTTCCATCACCAGAACTTTTTTTCTGTTTTTCTCATAAAACTTTTGCGAGTGAACACTGTGGAAGGCAACGTATGATGCAAAAGCCTGAAATCTAATTTCCTCTATTATTACCATCAACCGGAACTTGTGCGTTCCCTTGAGAGACTTTGCATTCGCAAAGATGCTCGGAGGTACGGCAAAAGTCTTGCGAGGGAACGCAACATTTTTCTTCCCTTCTCATATCTTTTTGTGTTAACATGCAAAAGTTCGCTCACAAAAAATCTAAGTTTCTTGGGGGAATGCAAAAAAAATGTTTTACTACATAATATATTTTTCTTCACATTTCATATTATTATTATTATTATTATATAGCACAGGGGAACGCATATGTCTGTACTGTCGGTTTGTTTGTACCGACCCGTCAGGGAAGCAGTGAGCAGCCGTGAGGACCCAGCAGGATGAGATGAGACTCCCGCCGCAGGTGAACGCTCTCCCGCGGGCGCTCCTGCTGAACACCGCCGCCATCCAGGGGTGGCGCTCCACCGCGCTCAAAGCCCCGCCCACAACCTTCATGTTGCGCTCCTCCCTCTGACCACACTGCCAGCCTATTGGATGAAAGATAGTTCAGCCTGCCAATCAAACAGCAGTGAATACAGACAGATGCTCTACAACAGGGGTTCCCAAACTCGGTCCTGGAGGGCCGGTGTCCTGCAGAGTTTAGCTCCAACTTGCCTCAACACACCTGCTGGGAAGTTTCTAGTATGCCTATAAGAGCTTGGTTAGCTGGTTCAGGTGTGTATAATTGGGGTTGGAGCTAACCTGTTCAGGACACTGGCCCTCCAGGACCGAGTTTGGGCACCCCTGCGT